CATCCCCGCCCAGCCGTTCCTCCCTGGGGCTGTTTTAGGTAAATCCCAGCCGGGATGCGGGCGGGATCACAAAAGGCTTCGTGTCTGCAGCTCGGAGCTCCTGTCGGGAGCAGCCTGAAAGAGGCAGATTTCAGACCCACAAATCTGCTTCGGGCAGGGATGAAGGAGCAGCCCCGATGGCTCGATGGGCTGCACGGAGTGTCCGCCACAGCAGCGAGGGGAGCAGGGAGGGGTGCAGGATGCTTTCTACCCCTCTGGGTGTTTTCCATCCCCTCTGGGTGGTTCCCAGACTCTCTGGGTCCTTTCCATCTTCTCTGCATGCTTTCCATCCCCTCTAGGTTCTTTCCAGCCCCTCAGGATGCTTTCCAGTCCCTCTGTGTTCTTTCCATCCCCCCTAGTTTCTTTCCAGCCCCTCTGGGTCCTTTCCAGACCCTCAGGAAGCTTTCCAGCCCCTGTGTGTTCTTTCCAGTCCCTCTAGGTTCTTTCTAGCCCCTCTGGGCTCTTTCCAGCCCCTCTGGGTGCTTGCAGACCCCACCAAGGGGTTCCCAGAGCTTTTTGGGCTCCTGCCTGGACTCCATCCCCTTCATTCCGAGAGTCTCTGCACCTCCACACCAACCTGGCCTTGTCCTGCTCGCTCCCTTTTCCTTCCCTGCAGCTGCAGCATCCCATGGGAAGGGCTGAGCAGGCTTGGAGCAGGCACGGAGTAAGCATGGAGCAGGCTCAGAGCAGGCTGCCCGTGGTGTGTGCAGATGCTCCAGTCCCTGAAGCATTGGCAGTTCTGGGGGAAGCAATTCAATTATCCCTCGGGGCGCTGGGAACAGGCTGTGCAGGCTGGAGAGGAGGAAAGCCAATGGAGGGGGGCTCAGGAATGCTGCTGGGGTCGGGTGCTCTCCCTGGGACTGGTTTTCTCCAGCAGTGGCAGGACAAGGGGAATGGTTTCCAAGGGACAGAGAGTAGGGTTGGGTCAGATATTAGGAAAGAATGGAAGTGTCACCAAGGCAGTGGCACTAACAGCATTGCTGTCCTACCCTGGCTTGCCTTGTGGGCTAAATCTTTAACCAGATCAAGGGTTTAACTTTATCAGTAGCTGGAAAAACGTGGCACCACTTCCCTGGGGCAAAGTATCTTGATCTCTGCAGAAATGCCTTTTCCTGGGCCTCACTCAGCAGCTCCTTTGGCACGGGCACCTGTGGGACCCTCCGGAGCAGGGAGCACCCAGGGCCCCGTGCCACACCTGGTTCCCAGCTGCTTTTCCCTCCAAAATCACAATTTTGAAGAGATGGCACTTCCCCTGGCAGGGTGTGTACCTGGTCATGGATTGCCCTCCTGGTGGGCAGTGCAGGAGGGATGCCACCCCCGGAGCAGAGGCTTCTGTGTCCCCTCAGGGGAGCCCCCCAAAATCCCCCTGCCAGCCCTGGAAAACCTTGCACAGCCCCTGCCCAGAGCAGGATGATGGATTATTGTTATTAGAGGTGGAGAACAGTTTCTGTGCACAGCCAGGTGGCTCAGGAGTAATTTGTCACCCACCGGCGAGGGGGGC